ATCAGCTGAGTAAGGGTGTTTTCGCGCGAAGGGTTGCGATCGATAGGTACATCACACCTTTCTAGGCCAGTCGATGGAGATTTCGAACTTATACAACTTATAAGGGTTGAAGAGAATAACTATAGAAGGTTCACAGCGTCAATTGGACATTTTTTGTACTGATTGCAGCATTTACCTACTTGTCTGGATATTTACAGTGTTGCTCTACCCCACCCCTATACTTCCGTATTCCTAGGACCATTTTGAGAATGTTTTCTTCTCCTTATATACTACTCAAAATTGTCTACTTTGTCAAGCGAAAGAAAATTATCAATCAAGATTTTTTAGCCTACTGCGATCACAAAAACTTCAGCAAAGTTGAAGAAATCGAAGTAAGCATTATTTTCCGAAAATTTTGATGATGACAATCGATTTGGACTAGCCACAAATACAATATCTCATAAGGGGTGTTTTTCATCGAAATTACAATTTGTGAATAATTGCATTCTTCTTCATTCTCTCAAGAATTCGAATATTACCAGACATGAAGGTATAGTCAGGATTAGATCATCTGGCAACAGCAGAAGTGTGGAGAATTGAAAATAACGTGCGAAAGATATATAAAAAGTATACAGAGAATGAAGCATTTGATCGAGAATACAAACATCTGGACTTGTTAGCAATGGTTGCTGCTTTAGTTTTTTTTTGTTAATTTCTTATGTTATTTTTTGATTAGTATATTATTCAGTTCCTTCACTTTTTAATTTCTTGATGGAAAATTTAAATTTCTACTGATTTCAACTAGGAAATAGCCACAATACTCAAAGTGGAATGAAATGTTAAATAAATGCAAAAAGCTCAAAGTCATTTCCACACAGTGTTCATAAAATGAACAACAATGGTAGATTTCGGGAGAAAAACAACTACTTCCCTGGCTAATGCCACGCAGGATATTGAATTACATCCTCCCGAAATCTATGCATCGACTCGTATAAACGAATACTGATACAAGTGATTCTTTCCTGAATGTTCATAAAATGAACAACAATGGTAGATTTCAGGAGAAAAACAACTACTTCCCTGGCTAATGCCACGCAGGATATTGAATTACATCCTCCCGAAATCTATGCATCGACTCGTATAAACGAATACTGATACAAGTGATTCTTTCCTGAATGCCTATTGATTTCGATTAAGCCAGGCCGCTAGACAACCACAGACCGGTTTCGAGCTCTTTGACTCTCATCAGTGCAGTGTAGTCTCCAGCCAGCAGTCCTAAGACCGCCGACTCAGCGAAGCCTAGCCAAACAAAAATCAAGTTGGCATTATATCCACCCCGAGGCGTCTTTCATCGATAAAATGAAAGTAACGCCATCTGAGTAGAACCGAGGAAAGAATCACTCCAAAACTGAAATCCCATACGGGAGTGGCTGGTTGCCCGACTGGCGTAATTTCAACTAGGAAATAGCCACAATACTCAAAGTGGAATGAAATGTTAAATAAATGCAAAAAGCTCAAAGTCATTTCCACACAGTGTTCATAAAATGAACAACAATGGTAGATTTCGGGAGAAAAACAACTACTTCCCTGGCTAATGCCACGCAGGATATTGAATTACATCCTCCCGAAATCTATGCATCGACTCAAAGAGCTCGAAACCGGTCTGTGGTTGTCTAGCGGCCTGGCTTAATCGAAATCAATAGGCATTCAGGAAAGAATCACTTGTATCAGTATTCGTTTATACGAGTCGATGCATAGATTTCGGGAGGATGTAATTCAATATCCTGCGTGGCATTAGCCAGGGAAGTAGTTGTTTTTCTCCCGAAATCTACCATTGTTGTTCATTTTATGAACACTGTGTGGAAATGACTTTGAGCTTTTTGCATTTATTTAACATTTCATTCCACTTTGAGTATTGTGGCTATTTCCTAGTTGAAATTACGCCAGTCGGGCAACCAGCCACTCCCGTATGGGATTTCAGTTTTGGAGTGATTCTTTCCTCGGTTCTACTCAGATGGCGTTACTTTCATTTTATCGATGAAAGACGCCTCGGGGTGGATATAATGCCAACTTGATTTTTGTTTGGCTAGGCTTCGCTGAGTCGGCGGTCTTAGGACTGCTGGCTGGAGACTACACTGCACTGATGAGAGTCAAAGAGCTCGAAACCGGTCTGTGGTTGTCTAGCGGCCTGGCTTAATCGAAATCAATAGGCATTCAGGAAAGAATCACTTGTATCAGTATTCGTTTATACGAGTCGATGCATAGATTTCGGGAGGATGTAATTCAATATCCTGCGTGGCATTAGCCAGGGAAGTAGTTGTTTTTCTCCCGAAATCTACCATTGTTGTTCATTTTATGAACACTGTGTGGAAATGACTTTGAGCTTTTTGCATTTAATTTCTACTGATTTTATTCGATATTTATCTCACTCTGTAGACAGATGGCCCAACATGTCTGGTATCATTAAAATTCTTATGAGAATTATTACCATTTTGAAAATTGATATTGGAGTATTTAAAGCCAGTCCGATCCGATCGATTTCCATTATAAAAATTTTTGTAAAAAATGCTTAATCCGTTTTCTTCAATTTTGCTGAAGTTTTTGTGATCGCAGTAGGCCAAGAAATTGTGTGAGATAATTTTTTTCCTCGACAAAGTAGATAATTTTGAGTAGTATATTATGAGAGAAAAAAATCAATCCGTCCTAACGAAAGTTCAGGGGTGGGGTGGACCAAATTGTAGCACCCTGTAGACCAATGGAAACGATTGTGGTCATGAAGGTATATTCGAATTTTTTATCACTAATTTTGTCAGCAGATCAATAGAGGTGATGCAACAGCACCTTCGAGCTTGAAAAAGATATACCATCGATCTTCACGGTATTCTTGTAGAAAAATGACTTTTTCAAGAGAATGGGACTATTGCGATGGTCTATTGGATATATCAGCAAATACTTGTATATAAGAATTTCATCAGACACATCAACGAACAAATGTTCTTTGCCGGCCTATTCATTCTCCGCCTACCTCAGTGTGCGTTAAGATCGTAGAGATTTGACCCGGTGAAAACCTCCGTTTTTGCCAATCAATACACGGACACGTACTTGTGGAAACCTATGGCTTAAGAGCCTACATGGAGTTATCAGTTTGAGAAAAGTCGAGTAAGCCTTTTCACTTCGTAGACTAATTATTGTCACAATGTTTCCCCACCTTTTCAGGCTCACGAACTTTCGATGATATTTAATCTGATCGGCCAGTTTTTATCTCATTCAAGATCAGGAAAAAACTTGGATATGTGACCTCAGGGAATGTCAACTTGGAATACAGTGGAATTGTTAGATGTGGTCTTGATTGAGAGTGATTTCGGAAGATCAACTTTCTTAGGTTCGATAATTTCAAATTACACACGTTTCACTCCTGCTAACTAAAGGTGACACATCTTATGTGGATAGTTGGGAGAGAAGTTAATTTGCCTATAAAAGGCGAATTTTGTCTCCGGATTATTATGAATAAGGTCGGCGCTTGAAACGAAACGACTCCAAACTTTACCTGAGCGGCAGCTGAATTAAAATGGATTTACTAAGTTTCTTGCGCGAATATATCCAAGACGTGTTTTGTCTGGAGAATTAACGGAGGTGAATGGAGGTGAGCGAAGAAAACTGTTCGACCTAACCCCATTTCCACGGTTTAAAATTAATCATCTGTCATGATAACTTTTTTCAACTACTATTTTCTAGGAAAATATTCTTCTCACTATTTATAACCACACAATAAAACTCATCCATCAATATAGTTGTGAGTAACTATCTTACGAGCAGCTCAGAGATGAAGAAGAGCTCATGTGCCCAAAATGTAGGTTGAATTCCTAATTAAAAATTGAAATTCGTCACGTACAGCCACTTATTCTAATGTGATAAGATGTGTTGGCGCTACTAAAACGTGACGTCAGTGTCATAGTCAAAAATCTCAAGATTTTGCCGGATAGCCCTAAAGTCTTCGACCTGTTATATCGAATATATTCGAAAAAAAAGTAGAATATTTAAACAACTATAAAACCTCAAGTTATCAAAAGACTTGAGCCGAATCACCTTTCTTACTTTCAATAGATCAAGTGCACGATGACCGACCCTGGAAGTAAAACATTGAAACATAACCGCACTCTCCTTATCAGTTGATAAAGGAATCAATGGATTGATATTTTGGGATTCGAATTGTTTTTTTTGGGCTATTCATTGATTGAAGCATACCATCACAATGTTATCTGTTGTACAACCCACAAAAAATGCAGGGAGAGACGAAGAAATATAATTTTTCAGGTAAATATATAGTGATCTCACATAGTTTTCATTATGAAATTTTGTAATATCTCATTAGAACTCCTTCTGTCACTTCTAATAGAGTGAAAATGTCTACAACACACACGATCATATTTTGTCAGCAAGTCAGACCAGTCCTCCCGTTTGATTGCACGAATCCAATCTTCTAGCTTTCTTTCAGAAACTTCACGAGTATTCCTATTAGCTCCTATTGTAAAAGGAATTCCAATGAGAAATGACAAAATTTCGAAACGAAAACTATAATATGTGAGTGACTACAGTACTTTTAGATTACAATGTACCTATTTCACCTACCTGAAAATTCGGATTCCTGCGTCTCTCGCTGCATTTTTTGTGCATTGTACAACAGCACAATGTGATGGCATGCTTGAATTATTGAATAGCCGAAAAACACGATTCTTGTGCAAACATAATTGTGAAAAACTATTTCAATCCTTTGTAAACAAATAAGAAAAGTGAGGTTACGAGCAATTCTTACATTGACGGAGAAGAAGATATCGTAGGAAGAAGTCAAATAATAAGTATTTTCATCAGTGCTACCAACCCTGACCTCACGTTTCAGTTGGGCGGTTTGGTGGACAATATTTAATGTTAGCCGTCATTGCCAGGAGAATAAACAAACTCCATGTCTGTCCTCTCAGTGTTTATATTTCGTGATAAAGCACAATAATCAGAAATCAACTTACCCGACGGTAACGTCGAAAATGTTACTGCCGACTGACGAGGAGACGGCCATATCGCCGAAGCCCTTCCTAGCCACGATCACAGAGGTGATGAGGTCAGGGATGGAGGTACCGGCCGCCAGGAAAGTGAGCCCCATCACCTCGGGCGGTATCTTTACCGTCTCTCCAACGACGTTTGCCCACCACACCATCAGGTACGAGTAGGCCGCTATCCACACGATGCTCCCCAGGAACGTTATCGGGAAGAACTTCTTGCCTAGAAACGGGAAAGGAATGATTGTAATAAGAGTACCGCTTCGTGCAACGGTAGGCTCTCGAATGACCCCCACCGCTATGTTCAACGATGCTCTGGCCACGCCCGCTCTGGTGGTGGAGAGGGGACCGTACATGGTTGCCACAGGTGGTAAAATTGTACTAGATTTGGTACATTTCCCAAAATGGTTTTTTTAAGTACAAAATCATTCGCTCGATATTCATCTACTAACAAATGTATATTGCATATCCTTTCATCGATTTTTTCTTGTGAACTATATTATACCCCTGAGTGAACAAAGATTCACACTACGAAACTCAAGTGATCCCATAGAACTCATATTATTGTGCATATTGTGCATACCTGTGAGGTGCGCTGTTGGCATAGTTGGCAATTCTGTTGGGCACATCACACTTACATTTGTCCAGTTTTTCATCCATCACTAATTTTTTCAAAAGCACCAGATACGAAATCAAAAACAGTGGCGTGTTATGATTTCTCACAAAAAGTTTCAACTGTTGTTATCCTCAAACCAGGCCTAATGATATTCAATTAAATCACAGAAAGGGTCATCGAATTATCTATGAAAAAATGATTATCGAATGAAATTTCTACATGCTGTGTTGCAATAACGAAGCATTCACTGGACCTCTATACCTCTCATAGAACATGAGTACTACCTGTCCTAATGGCGTTCAGCAGATAAAAACTGATTTCCCCTTTATGTTTTTTTTTCTGGAATTTCCGTTTGGTGGGTTTGGTACATCTTTGTTCAACCTGATATAATTTACGGATGATTTTGGTACGAAATATTTTCACGTTGTGGCAATGCCTTGTTAGGGATTCACGTGGTCCTTGCATTTGATGGAACCTCGTGAATGATGGAAGTGATGGAATCTTTACTCTCAAACTAACATTGTTTTTTATGGTATGAAGTATGTGAAAAAAATATAAAAACTGTTTGTGGAAGTAATTAAATTTAAATAGTATCGCTTTCATGGTAATTGAAAATAATTTGATATTCCGCATTTCAATTAGCTTCATTCGAGAATATAATCGCTTTCATTCATTTGATCAATCAAAATAACAGAACTGGTATTTATATTGGGAATTCGGATTGGAAATTTCATGATGACCTTCGTTTCAAAGTTCAAAAGTCATTGCAACTTGGTTATACATATACACAGAGCTTTTATTATGATAATTCACACGCAACACCACTCGAAGAATTAGAACGTTTTAGCATTGTATCGTACATTGGGGTATAGTATTTCCAGACATAACTGTTATTATTTCTAATAATTGATAATCATCCACACGAACTGCTGTGAAGCTATAATTTTTTATTGATTCGATATTTTTTATTGATTTGATATTTTTTAGGTTTCATTCTTTTGACTTGCGTAAAGATAACTTGAAAGCAGATGATAAGGTATTAATAGTCATTATATTATTTCATTGTATTCGTGGAGTCTTCAGTCTCCTGGTTCTGTTTCTTCTTCATCCATTTCTGCTATTTACTCTGAGGAACCCTTTCATAGGTATATGTACAATATTTACTGTAAGCTTCGAAATATATACGGCCAATATCTATCCAATACCAATGTTTTATTTTCTAATATTCGAAAATTCTCGCAAAACTTTGATTCTCTAATCCCGTGAAAGAACTGCTTGCACTCTTAAAGCTCGCTCAGAAAAAATTGTGGTTGGAAATTCCAAAAGTAGGTATTACAAAAAAAGAAAATATTTGAACACGATGTTCTTGGTATTTCAATTTCAACTGAATATGAAAGTGATACTTGCTTCTGCCGTGTTTGGTGATCAGAATTAATTTCAGTGAGACCATAACTGTGACGATTCGACAGAGCATTATGTCCTTGAGAGTACCAGTAAAATAATAAGGAAGCTGTATGACGATTTTCGATGTTGAGCCGACTCATCGAGTGTTTCAGAGCGAGCAGTACTACTAACTTTCTCCGAATATACCTACTGTAGTATTTGAAAGGCAATGAGTTATTCATAAACTTTGGTGTGTGGAATATTTATACTGGCCTTCTGATAATATATTATGATTGATTATATAATGATGATGATAATACCTCTAGGCGACCTGGTATCGGGCAAAGTGAGCCACAAAGGGAAGACAATGGGCGCCAGCAGCAAATAGGTAATCCTCTTTCGGGCCCCTGATGGCCAGCTCATGTCCATGGCTTCAGGAGGGTCATTTTCACCCACCGTACCACCATCTCCAACCTGCAGACATACCACCGCTTGAGAAGTAAGTGATTTACGGGCGCGTACTGACGACATGCGTCGCTGAAAAAAAATGCGATGATCAATATTTACAGATCACATTGAATTCAGTTCGAAAAACCGGTGAGTTTGGGTTCTCTATACTGTAGTGCTGATTGGGTCTATATCAAATCGATTGGCTGGAACATGCAACAACAATTAATCGTGCCCCCGACACCAAGAGCGATCTATAACACTCTCTGTTCAACCCCTGCCCCCCGTTGCTTGATATGATACGGCGCTTGAGAAGGGCGGAGTCAAGAGCTCAGGGAGATGGTAGTGGGGGTCATTTCAACATCGACTTCTGAGGAAGTAGGTTCGAACCAATCGAATTTGAACTAAGTCGGTGTTTCTGTAATTTTTCGTATAAACATAAAATGAATAGGATGTGCTTGTTGTAGAATCTTTTGACTAGGTATTTCTTCGACCGATACCAGATCGTAAATCACTGAATCACCTAGAATCAGAAAGGGAAGTCACGTATATACAATATCGGAAGAATCTACAGTTCAGTAGCCAAGAAAGAATCTGCTGTAACTACGTGTGGATTTGAGTTGGAATACGAATATCTGATAGCAAATCGATTTACGACTGATGAATATTGATATTAAATACTGTCTCTATGTTAACCCAGGAGGTGGAATATTAATTTCTTCAAACTTTTGGGATTTTCTCTCCTCGTATCGTATCCATGAATGAAAATATTAGTTTCATTTCAATATATTGGAAACCTGAGAAAAGAATTCGAGCGACAGTCAGTGACACCTAGTTTAAAAAATTTTTGAAGATGAATAGAATGAAGGGTTATTGGAAAACATGAAATTTAACTCCTTTTTACGATAGTTATTTCGAGACCGGAAAATAAATCTTGGGATTCATCTGTTCAATCTTTATTTTGACACATGAACATTATTCTTCGTAGATAGTTTCACTTCTTTGTTTCATAAATAATGCAGTCGATCGGAATATCATCTCATGAATACTTTACTACGCTGTAAGTATTTACAGCAGAGTTTTCAATTTGTCAGAAGGTTTGAGCATTCCATTTTTTTTTTCATAGCCAATTACTCATTCTGTAACAGTCTTATTCCTTCTAGCAAATTTGGGCTTTCGAGAACGACTGTTTCCTATTAAATCCAATAGTCTGTGTCTAACGTCATTCACGTCTACCCTCATTTATCAATCTGTTCTTGAATTGCGTAGTTAGTTTCTCTCGCCAACTAGAATAAATCACCCTCCTTCTTCTGCCTTCATCGATTTTCAAATTATCAGTGCCACATTATTCTCTGGAATTGACAGTGAAATCCATTCAAAATTAACCGGAAAATACTCGACCATAACTGACTGAGAGACTATCAGATATTCCTATGACATTCTTGAAGTAGACAAAATGGTAAAACGATTTTATCATTTGGAAACCTTATATTTGAGTCTGAGTTGCCAATTTCTCAGAGAATTTGCCAGTGATCAATAGGTCTATTTGTTTGTGTTCCTAGATATGCACGTCTATCAGAAATGCGTTTGATCATTTGTGTCGAGCATTTGATCTTCATGTGTTCGTTTGCCTGGAGCAAATTGCTGTAGATCAAAAAAATTTCGGAAATGTCAAGAATTTCACCAATTGATTTCGTTTTAGACGCTTTAGTGATCGACTTAATGAATAGGTATTGGTTATTATGTTTCAAGAATGAATGCTATGTATATATAATAAGGAGAAGAAAATATATTTTGGAAATCATGCATTATTGCTTTTTCATCCATCATAAGGAATGATCGACTATTGATGTCTGTACATGTCTCAAGATTGATAACCTATCCCAAAAAGAATTGAAGCTGTGTCGAAAGTGTTCGTTTGTAGCCAATGCACTTTGCAATTGTTTCTGCCCAAATGTACAATATGCTCTGTGACCTCATTGATCTGATTTGATCGGCTTGCTCTAAGCATCGCCTAGGACACAAATGAACTTTTATAATATTGCCTGAGCAACTTCACGTCATGATTAAAGTTTTTCGATATTCCGAATTTTCATGTTATTGTTCCATGCTGTTTACCGTATCTGGAGTAAATTTGTGAAAACATTCTTCGGATTCATGAGGGTCCGAGTCATGCAATCTGGCAATTTGATTACTTTTTATAGTTCTCTTATCGCGATAACGATATTTTATTTTTTGTTGGGGCACAAGACACAACTCATAATAAAACCTAGCTGTATATTATCGCTACACCAAGAATTTGTGTATGAATGAAGCTCATAACTCTCCCCTTCAAAACATCTATATTTTACATGTGGCGATAGGTGTGTGCGCATCTAAACTCACATTGAATAAGATTGGAAACTATGATGAAAGTCATCCCACAATTCAGATAGTTCAAATAATGAGCGCAGATTCAAGTAGGGGGGGGGTTGCTTAACCTCAGTATCACCTATCAGTCATTTTCAAATGCTGCCTTTTTATCGCTGAATTCATTATCGGATATTCGTACTTTTCATTGAAAATATTATGCAGCTCAAAGATCCAGAATCCCTTCGTCAATGGAAGTGTCTGTTGATACCAAGAATACTGGTATTATAGGTGAAGCGTTTCTAAAATACAATCCAACAGGAAAATCATCACAAAGTTAACAAAGCTTCCAGACACACGTACAATTAGGAGCAAAATCACAAAAATTTCCAATTTCCCACAATACTGAGCTGGAAAGATAAATCTAGGCAATTAGAAACTTTTCCGGAGCTGATTCATTGTGCTATACTGCGAATTGATTTGTGGCCGTGGAAGCTACACAAAGCACATGGAATAATAGATACATAGAAAATAACTACACGAGTGAACAGGTGAAATGTAGACAATGACAGACAGCATCGCAGTCAACTGTGAAATACGTCGGTGAAGCAATAACAGTGGAATCGACATTTTGCTTTGGCTGAGACAGAGATCTTTGACAGGCCCTGTTTGTTTGGGAATATGGTTGGTTCTCACTATATATATAGAGTTTTTTCTCTCACCCAAAAGGTGGATTTGAAAACCTAACCTCCCAACAGTGATGATGACTGTTACATACTAAGCACTCAATATAGCTACTGCGTTAGTTTATAGCACACTAGATGTATCCCTACATTGATTTCCACAAAAGCACTGAAGCACAAAACTAAATCATCTACTCGAAATTACCTTCAGAAATCTTTAAGTAGTCAAGATTAAGCCTGCTGATGTCTCGGTAAGTAGTAGATACAACAATAATGTATGTTAGGTAGTGTTTTTGTCATTTATATATATACCTACATTACAATACAGCAATAATGAGAAGTTCGTCAACCAACCACCTCTCGGATCATGAATCAAATGAACTAGAATTTCAGATTCTAATGAAGTTCCGAGATGTTCAGGATGTTTGTTTTGCAGAACTTCACATCATAAAGTATTGATAGAAAAGATTCAAGTTCATAGCGACAGAACTAACCTAAACACATACAAGAATGCAACAAATACATCTCTCTACAGAAAGGGGAATGGAAACATAAGGACACATAGGAAAAAACAAATAGTAAATCTGCTTTGGTGTTAGTTCAAAAGTTATCAATTTTATTAACAGAGATAATTGGAAGGTTTCGTATCAATTTCACATTGAAGAGCAATGAGAAATAAATACAGTTGTGTTTGAATGGTGATTACTTACTGAAAAGATCACTTAAGTTCACTTCAGGAGTGGGATTCAGAGATTATAACAGAAGATGCATTACAACATGACTAAATTATACATTATTAAAATATGACAATTCAGAAACGGGGGGGCAATCCACATTCTCAGGTCATTTCAGGTTGGTTACAACAATTCAAAATCAAACAGGATAATTCAACACTCAACAAATAACACCAAAGACATACAACTTACAATTGTTTCGGGTTTCCAAAGGTAACGCTATATGTTCGGACGAATAATAAGGCAGTTACAAGTTCACAACCAAATGACAATTTCTGTAGGACCATTCATGAATTTTCATTCGAAAATTTTCAACAGCGAAGCTGATATACAGCAACCGTCAAAAAATAATGCATTATATGTGGATTCGTTCACAAGAGATTTTCAAAAACATTATATTCTGATGATAATATGATATTTTTAACGAATACATATCAAATACTCCAATAAAAACATTAGGAACCATTTGTTGGGGAGCTGTTGATACTCTATTAATGACCATACTTATCTACATCAAATCTACATTTTGATATATGATAAATTGCATAAAATTAGACTTATAATCTGCTTCATACGGGGTGAGATAAATGAACTTATAAATTGATAAAAATATCATTTGAACTATTCTTGCCAAGACTGAAGTACCATATGAAAATTGAAGATAGCAAGTAATCTCATTCGATAAAATTGTTCCTGATTTGATTGTGTATGTATGATGTGGAATTTGTTACGAAAAAAAAATTGTTCTAGAAACCCCTTAGCTGCTCTACTAACCATCCCACGAAGTTTGGTCATGATAATAACTAAACATGTTCATAAATAATAGATTTTCAGAGATTCATGAACAATCCTACAAAGAATTACCTATAATTGCAATAATAATATTATGAAATGCCTTTACCATTCAAAATCAGTCCTGTCCGAAGAATTTTATTATAATCTCATATTTTGGTACCAGATATTATCATACAATAATTTGCTTTGGTAACTTGATGAATTCAACTATACGCCTTAAAAGATATTCTGTGAACGAAATTCAAGCGGGAAACCTTGAAATGACTATATAAAATTCCACTGGAGACAGCTTGTTTGATGAGATTGACATATTATTGAATGATTTGGCAAATGAGGAATGATCATTTTGCAATATTCATGTTGCGAACGGTATTCTTTGGCGTCATCCATATTTATTCTTGGCTTTTGTCCTTTATACTTTCAATATTAAATTAATCGTCGAAAATGGAAGGAAACCGATGATTCAAAGTTATTGTTTCCTCAACTTTCTATTATCTGATACCTATTGTAATATCGGTAAGTATTTGATTCTGGTAATAGAAGAAGACAAACTGAATTATAGTGGTTGGAGCTGGATCAATAATCAGAAAATCTATATCTTTTATTAATGTGACATTGACCCATTTTTCTGTTTTGACCTCAATATGGAATCAGAATTAGGTAGATATACCTACCTGGTGAGCAAAATGTAAAATGTTCTTTATTGAACCTTCGTCATCATACCTTCTTTGGAAATATTTCGATTCGACTAAAATTTTGATCACATGAAAAGTGGACTATGATCTCTCAAACTCCTTTTGGGAAAAGGGAAAGACTTTCAAGACTCAAAGTTTATGCTGTGTCCATATTCATACTACCAGATGTCTCAAACATCATTGTATCAAGAAAGTACCTACTCTTATTTGACCAGAAAAATCATTGGATGAATCTAAAACCGTAATACACAAATTTCAATTGAACTAGTAGAAAAAACAGATGCCTTCATTGAAATCTTTGAAGGAATGGCCTTCCTATTGAATACTTGAGATGTTTGTTCACGACAGTCAAAAATATTGCAAAGACCTTCCGCCAAAAACTATACTCTAAAGTTGTACAGCCCAGCCCTGCCCTCTAAGAGCCTTTTCATTCTCTGCTCCCGTCATAAGGCACATGACAAAAGCAAAGAACAAGAAAATCTGTTAAATCCTAACCTCGAAACCTATCGATGCCATATTCTTTCCATTACATCAATTTTTCGAAGTGTTTTGGAGTGCATTCAAAACAGAAGCAGATATGAAATTGGTTCAATTTCCTATGATAGCTATCTCACATGAAAAGGGTAGATATTTTGTGTAGCAACTACTTGTCACTCGTTGATTGACCTGTCGTTTGTCAATGACTAATGACTGTCTGATTTCCTTATTTGTGTGAGTACTTAATTGATTTGTTCAAACTTCAGATATAATCGATTTTAAACTTGACTGAAAATGGAACTTGACAGAAATTTTGAAATTTTCTAGGTTCTGGATAACAAACGAATAACTTAGTTCGGATTAGAGGTCGCTAGCTTAGTGAAGATATAAGGGCGATTTTCGCAGACAAGAATGGTGAGCGACCTCTCCACAACTTCTCTCGAATTTACGTCCCAGCGATGTTTTCATTTACCGGAAATGGTGGCATTATATGATTCTTGACATCAATGAAGCCTTCAGAGGTTAGAATTTTGCACTTCCAACGAAAAACTAGAGCAGCTATCTTGACTTACCGCGTCGACGCTGATATCGGCGTTGGCGATGCCGTTCGGTACCTCCATTCCAGATGGCGCCAGCATCGTTTCCTGTTTCGCGGCTGCGCCGACGTGATTGGCTGCCGAGCTGGTCGCGGCGCCATTTTGAGGCTTCGTGGCGTCGAGTAGCACCTTGAGGGACGCTATGGCGTGCAGTTGTGTCGCTTTCTCGTCCACTTTACCTGGAACATGCGATACGCACCTTTTACACCTGCGGCTGCAATTTTTTGTGATCTAACTAAGGCTTTCGACTGTGTCAACCACAAATTTCTGCTTCAAAAATTAGAAAGATATGGGTTTAGAGATGTAGTTTTGCAATGGTTCAGTTCTTATTTATCCGAAAGAACTCAAAGTGTGTCCCTTCAAGATACTATGTCATGTCAACTAGAGGTTAGTTGGGGAGTGCCTCAAGGATCAGTGCTTGGGCCTGTTCTTTTTTTGTTATACATAAATGACCTGGCGTCGATCGATATTATAGGAAAATTTACTCAATTTGCATAAGAGCAAGTAGCTGTAAATGCATCCAACAAAAGAGGAAAAAGAAGGCGAAATTTTGAAATATCTCGATAAATAGTGGTTTGTTCACATTTTCATTATCAAATTCGTGTATTTCAGACAAATATACGTGAGTACCAAGAAAAATTTTCGAAAAAAAAACCATCGCATGATAAATGCAGTTTTACCCAAAAGGGTAGTGTGCCAACGAGAATCAATTTGACACTTCTGTCATATTGAATTTGTTTGTTGTGTAATTGCATTTTAAAGCCCCGATTGGGTAAGTTTGAATTTGGAATATAAAGGAAGTGTATGAGGAAAGGAAATTAGGTACTTGGGTAGCACATTGGAGTACTCACAGAACACAACAGGCTAGGCAGACTTCTAACACTTATGGGAATAGAGGACAACCTCACTTGCCGCAGATGTGGGGAAGACGAAGGAACGTTACTCCATTTTCTTGGCGAGTGCGAGGCGTATGGGAGACTGAGATTTGAAATCTTTGGAGTCGACAAACTCCGACAGGAGGAGTTGACATATCAGAGTGGACAGGCATACTGGCCTTTATCAGAAGGTCAGGAAGATTCGTAAAGGAAATCTAGGAAGGAAGCGTAGATATGTGGAAAGCAGGGGTTAGCAAAAAGGACCCATCAGGGCCTACTTGCTTGGCTACAGCCTCCCCACCTACTACCACTACTACTACATGCCTTGCTCGTACAAGTATCTTGAAGACTTCTGAGGGTTGCTCGTAAGGGGGCACCGAATGACGGATAGAAAAATTTCAGAACATTTTTTTTTCATTATCCCGTAATAACAAGATGCATTTTCCAGATGAAGATATTTTACCTGGGTCACTCCCTTTCAAATATCAAGCAGTATATTATTACCTTGTTGCTCGGTATTTTCCGGTAATAGATGGACCGAATGAACTTTGGGATATTGCCAAGGGTAAGTTGCGCTGCGATAGCATTAATGCGCCTATAAATCTTCCGGAATTATTAATTTTCGTGCCTGGACTATTCCAAATACGGCTCGGTCGTCCATTAGGCATTCCAATATTGAAAAACGTTTGACATTATCTGCGCCAATGAATTAATAATAGAAATATGGTTCAGAGGCGTTGAGAACGGAGAAGTAAAAGGAGGACGAATAACTTAGTCCAAAATCCGGCTGATAATGAAATGATATATGTCCCAAAGGGAAGTGAAAACCTTGTAGTTCATCGAACGGCACCTGTGCCAATCACTATCCTGAGTAAAATGATTGAAAAATTGCACTTTCCTATGCGGAAATTCGCACTCGATTCCGCGATTTAATAACGAGTTAAAAATTATGCCATCCGATACCAATTCAGTTGAATTTATTTCATAGAAACAAGAAAATTATCATATACACTATTATAATATCAGAATCTTTCAAAATACGAGGATTAGAATCCTTGTAGTGTGAGCACCACATGAGTTTGGATGTTCGCAAAAGGGATATTTTTACCCTGTCATTTGTTTCTCGTTTCGTCGTTATCACAAGTTTGTCCGGAATAATAGCAGCAAATAAATCGCTGTGATCAGAATTCTGAATCCTGAACCACCCTGTATCTGTTTCGATTAAATATCAGTAAATAGTGAATCGAAAGTTGAGATAGGGACATGTGAGTCGTTTTGACCGATAATGAATAGTTTCGACACAAAAAATCTCAGGGGGGGGGCAATCTCAAGTATTGGAATGTCGACTCAAGAGCAAGAAGTATTTCCATTTGTCGATGAAAATTCCTCCATAAACGTATGCCCTATAATAATTATTATGTGTTGCTCATTCTTAGTTTCGTTCACATGATTTTTCTGTATTTTTTCTGTTTCTTCTGTCCGAGTTCCCTAACCTAAAAATTTAACTTATTGCCTGTTTTTTCGCAAACGTAACATTCAAGCTTTTGTATCGTTGTGTGCATGTGCTTGATGGTTTCAGAACTTTTCTAATGCATTTAACACGAATTAAACGAGGTCACAAACTCAAATAGGAAGGAATATGAGGAAAAATATGTTTCCGTGTGAAAAATTCAGTGACCTGAGTGACCCAGTGAAATACCTACACCAAATCACAATAATTCTTACTTGTCCTGATTTTCTTTTTTTATCGCTATAGTGAATAGTGGAATACTAACATTTTTCCACAAATTTTGAATTGGCTTGGCCTTTACTTGATGGAAATCCATATGTAAAAACTTCACAAACGATAAGATTTCTACAAAAATAATTTTGTGGAAATCTTATCGTTTGTGAAGTTTTGAAATTTTTCCACAACTATCACATATAGGTACAGTTACTCTATAAAGTCAACCCCCCTAGTCAACTTTTGAACGACTGGAAGTTTTTTTTTAATTTTTGCTTTTGTAAGATTTGTTTGAATGGAATGGAGGTCGAGTGATACGTCATTTCATACGCCTTTCGATTTTCTTCACGGTATATCACCAGACAATAATATTGATTTAAAACAAATGGCAGATGATAATGCTTTGAATCTCATACCAGGATCTTTTTGGCTAACGTGCTCTCGCGTAATTTCCAACTCTCTATTAGCATCTAGAAAATATCTTTCTCTAGAAAAATCTCACATAAATTCTGGACTTATTTATCCTGTTTGATTTTTCTGTATCCTGAAGCTAATTTTTTTCAGCGTATGTATTTAGTGGAACAAAATTACGTTAGTGCACTAGCATGTAACGAGATTTATCTCGAAATAATGCTCCATTATTCTCTGTATGCCGAAATTCAGTATTTTCCATCTCATCACTTCGAGGATATATACACTGATGAACAGTTGGCTCGCAAAACACAAAACAAAAAACATGCTACAAAATTCAACTACTAAAACCAACAACTCATCACGGCATAGCAGACTGTAATACGCTATGAGAGAATATGATAATAGGGCTCTAGTTGGTTCATTCATTCGGGACATAAAAGACCTCTGGGTTGAATAATTATAAAAAAAAGCAGGAGCGCTGCATGCATCACGGAAAGAGCCACTCCAGTTCTCAGAGTAAATAGTTGAAAAGAGTGATTTTGTTCTTATTTCCTCTGTGGAAAAGACATTCCCAGCGAGCACAAAAACTTCTCGGCGATGTTAAAAGTACGAGATTTCCGGACACTGAACCTTCTCTGCGATGTTCTGTTTATACATGAATAGAACTTTCATAAAACAGCCAATGTCCGTCACAGGCGGCGTTCATAAAGATGTCCTTGGGATGTCACAAAAATACCTTCCCCTCTTGTTTTTTTCATTGCCTTTTCATGGACCCAACAGACCATTTTCAGAGCGTGTTGCGTACATTAAATCGCTGTGTATTAACCATTTTTGAGCTACTTTTCTGAAGCCTTTTGTTAAAATGAAATTCTGCATTCGGATACAATTTTCCTCGCATTGCATCAAAATAGATTGGACGAAATATTTTCTTGATATATGATACATAGGTTTCCCAGTTTTTGAAATGTTCTGCCACACTGCATAATTCTGCATCTGCGAGGAAGTTGTGTATTGATAAATTTGTAATTTCATATTGATCACACTGGGACACTAAACAACACATCTTGCATTTGCGAACAAGAACAGCGAGATCGGAAACAAATCGGAATTCATCGTATTGTGACGTAAGCATGAGACGTTGTGGTGGGGCGAACAGAGAACTGGCACAGAAGAAAAAAAAAACAATACTCTCAATATCTTTCAAAGACCTCTCTGAGGAGTGCATTTTACCTCCCCCAAAAACAACCTCATGGCAACATTTTCAAAACATCCCAAAACATCCCTGGGTTACTACCTCAGTAGGCAAACGAAGCAATGCCACAGAAGAACAAGAACAATTCTTTCAATATTCCATGAAGATCTCTTAGAGAAGTGCATATTACGTCTCAAAAAAATATCCTGATACCTAAATTTTTAAAACACCCCAAAACTTCCCAGTACGCAACCAAAGCAAATCCACAGAAGAACAAAAACAATAATTCAATATCCTTCGAGGACCTCTTTGGGAAATGGATATTACGTCTCAAAAAACATCTTCAAGCAAACATTTTAAGAACATCCAAAACATCCCAGGGATGTTTGTACTCGCTAGGTCACGTTCTTAGGAACAGCTGCCAAATCGACAATTCAAGAAATATTCGAATGAAATATTTGATTCACTTCGGCCTAAACAGCTTGTGACAAAGAATATGAAGACTTGTAATGATGTACCCATCACAACATGAGTTCATTAAACTTAGCTTTTGTGAGGTACATAACAGATGAAGAATAAAACTCAATTCAAGATGCATCATGTTCAAACGATGTAGTTTTGAACAGTGAATTACAAAGAGCAGTGTCGCGAAGAGTATTTCGAAGAGGAAAATTGTACTATTTGATGAACCTAGTAAACTGGTTGCTTCAACAGTGAGATCCCATTCCAACTTCATACCGAAGATGAATAGTGTGAATTTGAGTGTGATTGGCTCTACTTGCATGACCATGATTCATCGGGTCTGAATGGTATAGATTTGATAACAGTGGACTACAGAGATCAGTGTCACAACTGTGGATCACAGAACTCATATTACTTACAGACCTGTGGATTCTGTAAAAGTTTATTTAAAGAACGTAGTGAACTGGTTGCTTCAATACATCGTGCCAAATATCTGCATGATGTAGATTTGATAACAATAAGTTACAGAAAATAGTGTGACGACTGTGTATTATTGAGAAGAAGTTAACTGGCTGCTTCAACACTTCATGCCAACACCGATAGGTTTTTAGGAGTGTGATAGAACCCACTTGCATACTGGCCATCATGCATCGGGTTTGAATGGTGTTAATTTGATAACAGTGAACTACAGAGAACAGTGTGACAGCTGTGAATCTTGAAAGAGCAGTTTATTATTCATAGAACATACATGGCAAAAATGAAAAGAGTGAATTTGAGTATGATCTGATGAATTTGAAAAGAGAGTGACTGATCAATATGCTGAAAACTGACCACGCACGAACACCGATAGTCCTAAGAGTGTGATAGGCTCAACATGCATACTGATCATTATACATATCACGTCAAAATTGTGTAGATTTGATAACAGTGAACTACAGAGTTCCGTGTGACAACAGCTTATTTCAAGAATGTAGCGAAATGGTTGCGTCCACACTTCGTGCCATGGATGACTAGTGTGAATTCGAATATGATCTGGTGAATTTTCATAGTGTGACTGATCAAGATGCTGAAATAACTGACCAAACACGAACACCGATAGACTTGAGAGTGTGATAGGGTATACTTGCATCTACTTTTGTGAATTCGAGTTTGATCTGGTGAATTTGAAGAGTGAGACCGATCAAGATGCTGAAAACTGAAAACACACGAACACCGATAGACTTGAGAGTTGCATCTACTTGTGTGAATTCGAGTATGATCTGATGAATTTGGAGAGTGTGACTGATCAAGATGCTGAAAATTGACCATACACGAACACCGATGGGCTTCACAGTGTGATAGGGTCTACTTGCATCTATTTGTGTGAATTCGAGTATGATCTGATGAATTTGGAGTGTGACTGATCAAGATGCTGCAAATTGACCATACACGAACACCGATAGACTTGAGAGTGTGATAGAGTCTACCTTCATACTGACCATCGTGCATCGGGTCTATGGTGTGGATCATGAGTTGGAGGAGGCCGTGCCGGAATTTGGCCCCCGTGTGGTGATGCCCGGTGGGAGGTGGCATCTGGGGAGTCTCGGAGGCGGCTCGTGACGTCACGCTGCCGCCCGGCTGCGTCCCGACGCTGGTTTCGCTCGACGTCGCCACGTTGCCATGCTGGAAAGAAAGATGGGGATTACATTTTCAATGAAGAATCAGTTGCAGGTGGAATGTCTTCATACAGGGTGAGTCATAACTATTTGAATGTAGGCTGAGAGTAGATTGTTTGGACCATAATATGGCGACTGGACCGAATATTCCGCAATAAAATATTGCTGTGGATAAATAAGCCTATACCTCCAAAAACGTATCACCCTGTAGATTTAAAAAATCTCGAAGATGCTCAAAATGATGCATTCCTATAAAGTATAAACCGCACACCATATTTCCAATTGATATCTTCGAAAGTGAGCGAGATATTTTGATTGATAGAAAAAAAAATGATTGAACTCTTTGACCCCCGCCTGTGGATCCATTTTATGAACTATTGTGGTAATAACTTTGAGTTTCTCTCTTTTTGTGAAAAGAAAAATGTTCATTCGCCTGGTATACCGAACTGTACCAATAAAAACGAAATCCTAATCAAAGTTAACCTTCGGAACTGTGCGTGCAGTCTGCTAGACCGTTCTCTACGTCTATTATGGCTGCTTTTATAATTCATTATGATCAGCAAGCAGCCAGCCCTATTATGGAACCAGGCATGCAAATTATTATGTTTGAGCAGGCGACTGTGTAATCATCAGGGCGTTTTTTTTTCGATTCGAAAAAAGGGGTTAAATAGACTTTCAGGATTTCGTGGGCGATGTGAAGCTCGAATCAATTGCGATCGCATTCAAAACCCTGTTTCGTGAAACAATTAACTGATTCAATCTAAACTATACCGGGTGGCATTCAAACATTCCGGTATAGGATTCGGCACCTGCTTGAATTTTATTGGCCGATTTTGATTTATCTGAGCAATTGAAGGCGGAGTGCCAAAATTCGTACCAGAATGTTGAGCGGTGCTGAAACACAGGTCGGAATGTTGATGAAATGAAAGCTCGAGATAATGTGTAATGAACGCATTTTTCAATAACTTTAGAAATTTTCATTAATATTCATGATGATTAGTCGGTATAAAAGTTTTGAATGAATGATTATATGTGATGAAATGAGATAATAAATTCGAAATAAGAATTAGAACACCTAATGTCTGTTTATGTCCTATTCCATGGGACTTAACGTTTGGTTGGTTTCTCGCCACGTTACCTGCCAAACTGCGTCTTCGTCTTCTTCGAATACATTTCATGAGAAAATAAAAAAATATTTAAAAAACATAAAATTGTTACCTGTACAAGAATCTTTTAATATTTGTAGGGCCTAATTTGAAACGCCATGATGTAAACGACTGAGCTTCATAATCATTCATCCATTGTACAACTTCTGTATATTCTTCATATTGCCCCTATACAAATTTTCTGAAACTTTTATTAATCTTTCCATAATTAGTGATTTATGGTATACTTCACTAATTGATGATTGCACTTAACTATAATAACAAGATTGCAATTTGTTGTTAGCATGTGGGAACGACGGTATAATCAAAAAATACGCAGGTTAGGTAAATGCGAGGGTGAACGTAAACAAAAACCGCGCAACATTCTGACCTGCTTTTCAGCACCGCTCAACATTCTGGTACGGATTTCGGCACTTCGCCTTTAATTGGTCAGACAAATCAAAATCCGCCAATAGAATTTAAGCAGGTGCCGAATCCTATACCGGAATGTTTGAATGCTACCGGGTGGATGAGATCCCAATAATGTCCAAATAATGGCCTGGAATGAATCCTAATCAATTCTAGTGTTCACAATCACTTCCAATATTGTATTCTGCTGATGATTTTCTTTGTGTTTTAGGAGCTCTGATGCCGATGTTTTCTAATTTTTGAGTTGGTTGGCTCTGCCTTTCTCCTTAAACACGTCCCTATATACCTTTTCCAAATCTCAATTAATCATGTCCTTTTAATGTATGAAAAAAAAAATTCGTCTTCACTGATATAGCCACTTCCACATTGACTTTGTTAATACCTACTATGACTGATGATGACCATTTGAATGGTAGAAACATGTCTCAATCAAAAGTAATGAAGCAGAATTGACTGCACACTTCACCAGTAAATTTGTGGAGACGCCTTTGAGTGTTTTTCTCTCTTTTATATACATTATATTATTGTGACTTGCCTTCCTTTCCCCCTCCCCCCCTGAGATTATTTCTGCGGACGCCACTGGTATCAATAGCTTCCGAAAATTCCAAAGATCTCGGATCTCGTCAATAATTAGCATTCAGTTTCCAATCATTCATCGTTGCTCAATTCTCTGTTGGGTTGACTAACTCTGAAAGTCCAAAACGATGAGCTGTTTTGATAGTTTTGATATCCCATTAGGAAACTAATCGGGAAAGGGTATTGATAGGATTTGATGCTATTATCCTTGTCTTATATTATTCAGTCAGCTCCATATATGTAATCAATCGACTCATCCGATTTAATCTAATGTTATTATACAATTATAGCAGATTGTTTGTAGAATTGTATCAACAGATTAACAAGGTAAGTAGTTGGAAAATCTCATTATGGTGTGGTTGTGTGCTAGTTGGTAATATGGTGGTAAAACGTATAATATGTGAGTAAACACATTCTGCTATAATAATGAAGGAAATATCTCTAAAATCATCTTAATCACATTTAATACAGGGTTTTGCGAAATAATGATTACTTACATAATACAATTTTGAAGGCGGAAATATTGTCATTTTTAATTACGAGTGATATACCTTGAAATTAGTACATACAGTTTGTTCGTTGATTTCTTATGCAAGCAATATCTTCGTCATTCATTGAAGGAAATAGATAGAGAATCAACATCGCTACTACATTGAGGAACAGATTATAGCTTCTGATAGGGTCGAGAATGAAAGATATCAGAATTCCGAATTGTTTGGAAATCATCCGAATTAAAACAAATATATTCACTTTTTATACACAGTGTAAGAACCCACCAAATTGATAGCCTGGGATGGATTCAGACAAATTATAATGAACTGTGTTTTTCCTTTTTATTTTTCACTAATTACAGTTGAAGCATGAATATATCATAAAAATATCTGTCATATCAGATCAAAAATACAGGGTCATCTTCATCAAAACTGATAATATGCTGACCGGACGAATCAAGGTTCCATCTTTTGTTTTGATTTCGACAGTCCTGATCTGCTTGTCACGTTCAAAAACACTTGAAGAACTCTTCCAAGAATCCATTTATTCCGTACCTTGCTATCAGGTAGAGCAACAACATCGTCAATCTGCAAAGGCTTCCCTTTTCCAAATCATTTACTTCGTTTTCTTAGTGAAGGTATATAAGGGTGAGAATCCAACAAATTGATAGCCTTGGATGGATTCAGACAAATTATAATGAACTGTGTTTTTCCTTTTTATTTTTCACTAATTATAGTTCAAACATGAAAATATCATAAAAATATCTGACACTGTCAAATCGAATCAAAAATACAGGGTCATCTTCATCAAAACTGATAACAATCTCATTCACAAACAGGTCGTAGTGATTCACGTGTTAAAATTCGAAACTCTCTTCTATTAAAACGGGAAGAAAATCAGAATTGAAATTTCAGGTATGTACCTGTAACCTGCTTACAATAATATTCAACAACTGGCGGTATTCCATTCATTGTAAAGGAGAAGGTGAACTCTTGATAAGATGAAACCAAATTGCCAAAAACCCCATGCATTCATCGGTAACAGATCATTTGCTGCTTCCAAGATTCCAGATCCTCTTCAAATCAAAATTCGAATGACTACCAGAATGATTTGTATTGATAATGCTGCCACTCCTCAGAATTTGTCAGAAATATTCATAAAAAGTGGATGAAAATTGATGTTATAACTTTATTGTCAATCAAAATGGTGGGGTGGAATTAATCCGAAAAAAATCGTTATTATGATATTTCGCAATTTTTATTTTGACACAAAGAAAGCAAAGTATGCCTTGAAGATGGGAATTATATTTTCTGAAGCGTTAATCTAAACCCTTTAATCCTGTTTCTGTTCAGAAAAAATATGGAATCGGTTGAAAACTTCAATTTTTATAAGGGTACTCCGGTCACTATAATCCACCTAGATTTGGGAAATGCTCCTATTACTCCTCTGAATGTGTTCAATTTATATCTTGCTCTGGCATACAGCTCGTCGATATATCCAATAACTGGCAATAAATAACCAGTAACACATTCGGACGATTCCATTTGGAAACCAATCAAACTCCCAAAACGTGTATTTAAATTATCAGTGATTTCGTCCTCGACAGGAGCTTATCCAGAAAGGGCAGATTCCTCACGAAGTGAAATATGTCACTAATGTATCGAATCGACATAGAAAAATTTGGTTGTTCGTTTACTAAAAGGCGTAATTGACTAATATTCCTCAAGGTATACTTATATACAAGGTAATCTTTGGTAGAAGTCCATATTGCTCAGGAAGGGCTGATTCCTCACGAAGTGAAATATGTCACTAATGTATTGAATCGACATGGAAAAATTTGGTTGTACATTTACTAAAAGGCGTAATTGAATAAATCATCCAGTGAATAATATTCCTCAAGGTATACTTATATACAAGGTAATCTTTGGTTGAAGTCCATATTGCTCAAAGTATGTATCGGTCTTACAAGAGACCGTCGTCAGCCTAATTGAAAGTTCTACAATACAGAAATAAAATAAAAGTTGAAGTGAAAGAATTACCTAATTTGTGCTTGACTTACTTGGAGTTGAAAAAATTTTTTTGATGCTACTGTTTCTTGAATTGTTGTCGATGCTCATAGTCAAGAATTCAAACACCTAATGAAAAAAACGGGTTCTCAATAAATGAAGGGCCCCGTGCCCTGAGAGCGCATACCATTATTGGTATATGAAGGGTATTGCCAAAAAGTTTGTTTTTGACAACACCATAAATTAACGGTTTTTTTTATAAAAAGGGTTCCCCGTGCTCTTATGAAAACGCCACTTAAGGAAAATATCAATAAAATTGATGGAGCAAATAGCCAGCACGTGTTTAAATCTAAACTAATTCGGTTAGAAAACACTGAAAATAATGTCAATTAATGACGTGGGCAAGACGTTGACATGAGTCAAAGTCAATGTCAAGGGATAAAACATGAAATTATAACCATGATCATAGGCATATAACAATAGCTATTACAACTACTTGAAGAATGTGGATGTAGGAGGAATCATTGACTATGAAATACCATCGAATAAAAGTTGAGACCCAAGAGTGTGAAGTAACAGCGATTGAAATCCAAAGCATTGAAAAATCTAATACAATCAAAATGTGTTTGTGCATTAAGAAAGAAGACAGAACTATTATTTGAGGACGAGTTAATTTCGAAAATTTCCAGTAAATTCAATAACCTAACTTTTGGACACACATGTAGAATTTCAAGGTCCTGATTTGGATCAAAACTATGACGTGAGTTTAGGATGTGGTTTGCGAAAGAACTTCTGGTATCATATTCACGAAACAAAGGATGTGTATTCTTAGATTTTCCAGTGATCTTAACAGGTTCCGTAACTCTGGTTTAAATTTTCCTACCACTTTGTCCAACATATTGAGCAAGGTGTCCCTAAAAGTGCTTCACAAAATCTAAGCACATAGTCCTGAGGTCAAAATAAGTCGATTTGAAGCAACGTACCTCAGTAGGAAATTGCTCCGTTTTTGAGATACAGGGTGGTAAATTTAAAAAATAAAAATCGATAAGTACATTCCAAAGAAGTATCTCAAGAAATCCATTCTTGCACTTCTCTTTCACTGACAAAATTACAAAATATTTTGAATATTCCGGTGCGGCATCGAACACTATAAACCGTAATATCTCGAAAACGGCATACTTCAGCGAATTTTCGCAATTGAATCCTTTTTGCTTGCTACCAATTTTTGTAGTGATACGTTCAGAAATGTTACATTTTGAAAAATTCGATTTTTATTTTTCAACTTTTCCACCCTATGTCTCGGAAATGATGCAATTTCGAACTGAGAACTTTAGTTGAATCGACTTATTTTGACCTGAGCAATATGTGCTGAGATTTTGTACAGATCTTTTAGGGACACCCTGTATACCAGGGCCCGTCTAGAAGTTGTTCCCCCTCTCTACTAATTTTTGAACCACCTGGTTTCAGGATAGATTTCTTCCTCCTTCATGTTGATATTTTGGTCACGTAGTCGATATGATATGATATCTGTGCCCCCGGACTCAGAACGAAAAAAACCCTGCAAACGACTCTGATTGTTAGCAGGAGGTGCAAACTAAAATCGACCGATCTGAGCATTTTCTCGTATCTACCCTATTATCACCCAAAATCTCCTTGTCAAGTTGAAAATGGGCCATCCTGTATGATGAAAAGGTTATTAAATAACTAACATGAATACGTGACCAAAATATCAACATGAAGGAGGAAGAAACCTGCAGAACACAATAACTCTGATATCTTGGACTATGGATGATATGGAGGGACTCCGAAAAAAATTTTTCAGATATCTCGTAAACCAAGCAAAATTTGGAAAGAAATGTGATGAGAAAAAAGATAGATAATTGATTTTGTTATTCAATTAGATATTGAAATATGGTCAGTGGCGTACTCAAAAAAAGTTCTATGGATTTTCTCCAATCAGGATGCTAAATTTGTATCTCCTTGCATATCGATTGCACTGATGTGACCTGTTATCTATGCACACTTCTTATAGTTGACTGCCTTCCAAATTTCAGATCATAACCTCTTGAGGATTTTGAAATATTCAATAGAATCTGAAAAAAAAATTCCATTCATCGCCCTCTCACGGCCCAACGATGCATTTTCGTATAGAAGTAAGTTGGTCCCAATCGACCTATTTTGAACTCTGGTTGACCCTGTTGAATTTAATGTACGTTGTTCTGGGACACCCTGTATATGATTATTCCTGGATCTCTGAGTTTTTGTAGATGTTTTTGATTAATGTTGAATTTCATCAGATTTTGGTGAATTTCCTCCCATATCTTGAACTTTTCCTTGTTCCACCTCTGAATTGCTTGTTCCACAGTGGGAGCTCGTCTATTTTCCGGATATTTTCCGCGAAATGATTTACGACATGAATGTCGATGACGTTCTGGGCCCGAACAACCCTGTGCGCCCTTACCGTACCTACAATAACATGATTTATCGTCGAGCCCTTTCGGCGCATTTCGCAAATTCGCTCACATTTAATCAATGCCCAATTCAACGGCCAAACGACCTCATATCTCGAAAACTGAATCGAATCGATCCTCAAACTTATACAGGCTGTCCCGCTTCAACTTCAGCAGTTGAAACCACAACTGACGGATATGATATCTCGTTACAATTGAATGAAAATTACGGATCTTTTTCTTCCGATGAACATTTTGAATCTCAGGAACAAATCCATTCAGATCTTATTGGAATTCAGATATTCCTGAATTTATTATCAAAGCCGGAATCAAAGTATTGCAGGAAAATTTGAATAAACTCCTCCTACTCCTGTTTTTTCTCCTCTTCACGATTCTATATCGAAGACTGGAACCTTTGGCACGATAATGCACTACACTGTTTTACCACTAACCAAACCGATTTATTAACGCCTCGACACGTGTTTCGCTAACTATGTTAGCATCTTCAGGAGAAGATTAAAACTCAGTTTGAGTGGTAAAACAGTGTAGTGTACTTCACGATTCTGTTGATGAACTTTGTTAATTATTAAATACAGTTTGTTTTTTTATATTTCGAATAAATGTCAATTTTTCCTTAGGTTCCATGTGATTTGTGAATTTTTCCTTAGTCCGAATCTAGATTTCCATTCCGCCCCATAGGTCAGTAAATTCAAAGTCCCAAGTACAAGCTCTATACCAAATTTGAGGAAAATATACTGGATAGTTTAAAACTGATATGGACGAGCGAATAATTATTCGAAATCGATAAATCACCCTGTATCTCCGTTATAAAGACTGTAAGACTCATCAAATATACTATTTTAAGAACCACCTTGGCCACCCTTATCTACCATTGAAATATTTCCCTGTACCTGTGAAACACCATGTATAATTTGAGACCACTCTTGCTTTGTTCTTGAGGTACATGGTCGAAATTTCACGTTGAATATGAATATTCAAAATTGCTTCCATAGTTAAACAAACCAACATACGAGCATTGGATTAAAATGTAATTGATAAAACGAACTTCAAACACCCATATTGTTCCTGGGGCCAGTGTTAACCGCTACACTGAAAACTGAAAGAATAAAAGAAAAGTGTTCTTTTGTGGTTCTATGCTTTGTCGTCTGAACTACGATGCGGTTATAATAGAGAAACTTTGGCTGATAGAGTCAACTGGAACTCCAAGTCCAAACCAAGAAGCATAGAAGAGAACTTCAACAAAGACTCAACTCGTCACAAAGTCTTCCTCTTGTATAACTCATTAATTCAAGCTGAAATGTACGCAATAGTAGCTTGTATTCAAGAAAACAGAAACATGGAACACTGAAGTAAAACCTACCATTGAGGAAGGAAAAAAAACGACTGCAAACACTGGTTATGAGTATAAATTGTCGAGAGCATTCATGTCCACACCAATTTTGCTATGCACCTTAGGTAGATAGCAGAGGTCCATACTAATCTTAGCCTGGCGCTCTAGATCAGATGTCGCCAGGTTTACGGTTGGCATGGCAATCTTGTGGGTTCCTATATATGCGAAACAAAAGGTATACGGACATATTGGCTTTTGTTTGTTATTTGTATCGTATCGATGTATAGGTCCCAGCAAGCTCTGAAGATATGAAACAGGATAGATACAGTAAATAAAAGATCAATAAAAGATATGAAATCCATTCAGGACATATCAGAAGAAGGAAACATTTGAAAATATATAAATAAATGTATTCCAAGGCACATTTTTTCATTGGTAATGCATAAATGCATTACAAGGCACAAAATAAAAACGATGGAACTATGTTATGAATGGATCACTATAATATACATATTCGAACTCTTATTAACCACACTGTGAATAAATTTGTTGATTTATTATCATTTTGGCATCTGCCTTGTATATGTCAAAGTTGTAAAATTCGTCATATAAATTTGGACTGAAAATCTTGATCATTTCGAAGCAGATATGCCTGGCAAAGCTACTTGGTTCACACCTATAGCAGTTCTTAAAAATAGACAAGAAGCTTGGAAGAAGATTGACGATAATGGATGGGTGAGTTGAGATATCATAATCAAATCTGATCAATTATTTTCCTTTCTTCGAGTAGCATATTCAGGGGTGTGTGCAAATATTTGTGCATTTTTGTATGTCATGCAAAATAACTAAATTCATAATATATCATAGCAGAGTGCTTTCGTCTATACATAGTCATCACCAGTATACGTACGTTATCCATAAAAATATCGTTGGTAGTAATGATAATTCGAAGTCTACAGTTCTTATTAACGTTACAAGACCGATTTGTAGCAAATAGCGGATGAGGTTGAATATTGTAATATGAGGCGCAGCCGAGGATGATAACAACGGAACCCGTGTGTGTCGTTCAAGACTTTTCGAGGAAAGAACAAACCACGTAGAGTTGTGTACGTAAACAAGTCGTACATGGTTTGTATGGTGTAAAACTGCCTATCATGTTCCAGATTTCATTGAAAACTAGTACACGTACACATTTGCGCGTTACTGACAAAAATAGTATAGGTCGCGTGCACGATGACCGACCCGGGAGGTAAAATATTGAAACATAACCTCACTCTTCTGTGAAACATTGAAACACAACCTCACTTTTTCTATTTGTTTACAGATGAATCAAAGGATTGGAATAGTTTTTCACAATATTTTGGCATACGACCCGTGTTTTTTGCGCTATTCATTAATTCAAGCATGCCTTCTCATTGTGCTGTTGTACAATACAACAAAAATGCAGCGAGAGACGAAGGGATATGATTTTCCAGGTAAATAGTATTCTCACATAGTTTTCATTATGAGATGTCATTTCTTATTAAAATTCCACTTCTGCAATTGATCATTCTAGAACACGTGATTTTGACATGGTTTCTTGAGGGGCACACAAACTATCTGTTAGAGGTTACCTTTGATGAGCATAGCCCTGGCCATCCCTGCCACGTATACAACATAATAATAGTTTCACCAAACACAATTATGGAATTCTTTCTGGTTCCAACTCGGATTCCAAGGAAAACAATCCCACTTATTCTGGATTTATATGACATATCTTGACAAAATACAATGTTTGCCCCTCAGCAACCTGTCAAATGACATAATTCTGGAATGATTTATAGAAGCTAATAGATTGAAAATGTCTACAACACACACGATCATATTTCGTCAGCATGTCAGACCAGTCCTCCCGTTTGATTGCATGAATCCAATCTACTTGCATTCTTTTAAAAATTTCACGAGTATTTCTATTAGCTCCTATTGCAGAAGGAATTCCGATGAGAAATCAGAGAAATTACCAAATTTCAAAATGAAAACTATGTGAATGACTATAGTAGCTACTTACTTCTAAATCATAATGTACCAATCGGATTCCTTCGTCTCTCGCTGCATTTTTTGTGCATTGTACAACAGCACAATGTGATGGCAAGCGCGAATAAATGAATAGCCGAAAAACACGATTCGTATGCCAAAATAATTGTGAAAAACTATTTCAATCATTTGTAAACAAATAGGAAAAGAGAGGTTGTGTTTCAATGTTTCACCGCAAGGGTCGGTCATCTGACAGTTCTTGCACGCAACCCATGAATTTTGACATTACTTGTCGAAGTCGATAAAAAGGTTAATAAATATTGACACAACTGTACCTCGAAATTCTACAGAAAATTCCCAACATCGTGTTGTGATGAAACAGCTTAACAATATCACGATAGAATTATATACCGTCAAATAAAAATGACAGTATGGGATTACGAAAAACAATTATCATTACTACCAGCATTCTGTTTCAATAATAATCTCGATTCAATTGTTAATGCTTAAACAGATGTAGAAGTCCATGTCCATGTGGTAGTGATGAAGAAGCGATTATTCTCAAAATCATCCCCACAATTTTATTGTTTTTGTTAATTTTTAGTTAGGATGAGTTTATGAATAAACATAATGAAATAAGGTATCAATTTAAATGCATAAACGTTTCATCTTATTAGTGAAAACGTTATAATGATTGCAAAATTACAGATGGATGGAAAAGCTGGGTGCATAAATCCATCAAATTATTATCAGTGGCTTTCTATACATTGTCACATTATCTGACACTGGCAATCAACATTGACGCGTAGCCACTGTTATTATAGTATTATAGGCTGTTGATTTTCAATAGAATTAATATCCTGTCCTTTTTTGAGAATGATATCAGAGGATTTCGTTCAGGAAATTACATGTTTTGGACCTACAAATGAGAAAAAATCTGATGGGTTTTGGCTGAAATAACAGAATACTACCTATACTACTATAATTTTGTCCACCAAATATTTCATCTTATTTTGAATTGCAATCTCAAAATGGCACAAATATTTGGTAAAAACTAAGAGCGTTTCTTACCAGCATAGCATCCACCATTATTTTAATATTAGACCATTCACCATTCTTTGAAATGCGCATTCACCATTCATTGAAATGCGCATTCACCATTTAGAGCCATTATGACTACAAAGTGTCGAATATACCAGGTCTTCAACAGTGATTGAAAACCACTTGACCAAAATGTGTTTGCATCCAACACTGCACAGTTGGTAAATAAATAACTGGAAATTAACAGCTGCTATCAAAATAAAACATAGGCGTACTAAACAAAGTCAAAGCAGGGTTGTAATTTCACTGAAATTTGAAACAGTTGAAACAGAAATAGCACCCTACTATAACGATTTTTCTTTGTGCGTTCTTGTGAGTTCAAATTGTGGAAGAAAACTAATACCTTTCACAGTTTCATTAAATTTTTCACAAACCTAAATGATTTTTCTACCTTTTCTACCACGGTGATTGCGATAACGCAAATGTTGCATAATATTGAATAGTGGTACCAGTTGAAGAACCATATAAACAATCAACAAACGTGGTAGAAAATATAACAAAACACTGGAAACTACAGTAATTTATGATCTAAGGTGCAAATATGACATATATGATGATATTACCTGAGTAAACATGATTACAAAAATGTATTGTCGGTTGCATACGAATATGGTCAAGTGGTGTTCATCATTGTTGAAGACCAGTTATAAATCTTTCGTGTTTTTCAGAAAGCTGCACCGGTAGATCTTGACAAGGAAATAACGTTCTTCAACAATAACTCTCAACATCGTTCATTGCCAGAGTACGATCTATATTTCGCTTACACCAAAACCCTTCCTCTGTGGGATGAAAGGAAAAACAGGGACAATAGGCGCTTTTTACCTGATATACACGAGAATATCTTCCAGCAGGTATGCTGTGGTTTCCACCCCACCACCCCTTTTGAAAGAAAACACGCCATTCCGATTTGTTCATGTGAAAATTCCACACGTAACATTTTCGATCAATTAATAATTAAAAGCCTGTATTTTGTATCGTTACCATAGCAACTAAACACATTTGCGAAAATGTTTTCCTCCTCCTTGGGGGAGGAGCTTGAAATTACACTTAACCAAAGTCGTTTAATTATATTTTATCTATCCTAACAATATATTACGTGAGCAAATTTCATCAATACCAAATAGTACTTCGAGTTTCTAGTCAGAAAATATACCAACTTCAGTAAACTGAATTTGTGAGACCCTGGAAAATTGAGCTACTATCGACATAGTTTATTTTTGTGTAACTAAAGTAAGTTAATTGTGTTATATTTGACCTAACAATGTTATGGATGATGTGAATTTTATTAATACTGATGTATACTGCTTCGAGTTCGTTTTAACAAAATATGTTTCCACCAACTTCAGTGGAATAAAGTCAGTGGTTTGAACTACCACCTAACCTTATCAATATTTTGCGTAACAAGTCTGTATTTTGTATTTTATTCAGCGTAATCTTTTCTTACTGAATAATTTCAATGAAAGACCGGATTTTTTCCTCAAACTCAAATATTTAGAACATTCTCCCTCATAATAAAGCTCTCGTGGTATTATAAGTAAAAAACGTATTTTAAAAAAACAACCGTTTCACCACCACATGCTGACACATTGTCACCATCATGAACAATATTGTACAGGGTGAAAAAATAGTATCAAAATTATCTTTGAAATAACAACATTGTGAAGTAGTCGAATGATTTTTTCTATTTCATTCCTGTATACCAATTCGAAAACAATATTTACTTTGGAGGAGAAAGATAAACCAGTTCCCGCCTTATCATCCATGAATTATGGAAGACCCTGTAGAACGACCTATGACAAGCCAGAGGGAACATTCAGAAGGCAGAATGCCACGTCAGATTTCAAAAGAAGAAGAGGTGTGGCATGTGTTAAAGAAAGACAAAAACCCGTATGAATATTCAAATGTTGTGAGAGAATAAATTTTCTTTACAATCTGAGTTTTCTGACTAAATAAGTGATATTCTTTCGTTCTGAACCAACTGAAATGTGGATCAATGATCAGTTTCTGTGAAACAAGGTACAGAAAATCTCTCAACTCTGTTTTGTTGAGCTTAAAAAGTAGCAATGAGAAAGTGTCGTTTGTTTTCCTATATCTTTTTGAATAACATCGGAAAAACATAAAAACGATCCCAATGATAGACATCCTCATCTTGGACACAGTGTATACAGGGTGATCTAAGTGACAATTAATTGTAGGAATGACTGTACCATTATAATGCTTGGGTAATAGCATCCTAGCGAGCACAAAAACATCTCAGAGATGTTAAAAGTACGAGATTTCGAGACATTGAACCTCCACTGCGATGTTCTGTTCAAACATGAATAGAACTATTATAGAACAGCCAATGTCCGCCGCAGGCGGCAATTATCGAGATGTCCTTGATATGTCACAAAACTACCTTCTCCCTAGTTCTTTTTGAAGCCCTTTCATGGACACAACAGAACATTTTACACGCGTCTTGCGCACATTAAATCGCTGTAAAAAAAAACATTTTCGAGGTACTTTTCTGAAGACTTTTGTCAAAATGAACTTTTGCATTAGGATTTCATTTCCCTTGAATGAAAAAAATGCATTAAAAATAGATTGAACATAAAAATATTTTCTTGATATGAAATTACCTTCTTAATCGGTTTCTGAGTAGTGCTTACACACACAGACATATAATTGGAAATAGGTTTCCCAAATTTTTGAAATGTTCTCGACAATGCATAATTTTGCAACTGCGGAGAAGCTGTGTATTGATGAATTCGTACTTTTATATATTGATTACACTGAGGCACCGAAAAACACATCTTGCATCTGATGGTCATTATTACAAACTAAATAAGTCTTTTAACACAATAAACTTCACCAAATTCCTTTCTGTTCGTTAGCAGCGTGATGTAAGCGTGACACGCTGCAAACGCGAATGCCAATTGCGAACAAGAAGAACAAAATCGAAAACAAATCAGAATTCATCGTATTGTGACGTAAGCATGAGACCTTGTGGTGGGGCAAACAAAGAAAGGGCACAAAAGAACAAAAACAATACTTCAATATCCTTCAAAGACCTCTTTGGTCAGTGCATATCACGTCTCAAAATAACATCTTCATGCCAACATTTTCAAAACATCCCAAAACATCCCAGGGATGTTTGTGCTCGCTGGGGTGCCTTATAAATAGCTTCTAGTTTTTTTTCAGATAATGAGAAAAGTTCATGGCCTAAATATCAATGCCGTTTATAATACCACAAAAACTGCACAGAATGGTCTGTTGAAGAAGTGAGGAGCGATATTTCAAGAGTAATTCAGGCCTAATGTCTTTCGCCTTTATTTCCTCTAGGGAGATTAAGGGAAATATAGGGTTCATGCGGCTAGCAAACAAACACTCAAACTGAACATAAAATGAAATGGAAATAATCTAAATAAGAGACAGTAGAGTATCCAAGTAGTTGCCTATATATATGATTTTTCGATGTCAGTTCTAGCAAGTATGACATACTAATTTATATTTTCTCTAAACCAGTCACGCGGTTGGTTTGAGGTTTAAGGAAGGTTATCTAGCTGAAATCAAACATTTTTGAAATACCAGACCATTCAAGTCACAAATTATATCAGGATTTCAATATTATAAGAATCATTGTAATTTTGCAACTATGTTCTCATCTTCAGTATGAGAAGAAGTAAACTAGCTTTCAGCTCTTTCAGATTTATGGATGTTGAGATTACTGGAACTTTGTTTTATAAATAAATCAAATTTTCAACATTATACTGCAGATTCTTATTTGCATGAAATCTCATACTAGTACCTATATATACATCACATTTTGTTGAAGATGTTCCAGTGTGAACTTGTGGAAGGAATTTTGTAGTTTTTGTGGGGTCATAGAAAAACCTAATAAAATATCTTGTTTGATTTCGAATATTTTGGTTCATTTTCGAATGATCTAGTTTCTATACGACCCAAAAAAGTTGTCATTTATTTTTCTACATCATCAGTAGGTATAGTTACTTTTTCATTCTGGTCCATCGAAAAATTTATTAGAATCATGAAGTCATGAATTCAATAATGACATTACGAAAGAATATAGTTCATAGTATAGTAGTATAGTCCAATCTTTCGTTATACAAAGTGATTCATTGAGAATGGGCAATCTCTGAACTACTGATAGAGAACACCAAAATATGAAGATTTAGCCCAACATGCCTCACAAAAATGTTGCTGGTGTTCAAGGAGAAGATTTCACTCTGAAATATCTTAATATCTTTGAAAGTTTCAACAGTATGAACATTTTGTAGTTTTTTGATATCAGAAATACGAATTTTTAACCAGTTGCATTCTTTTTATTCAGTAAATTAATATCTTCCTTGTTCATTGAATGTTGTTTGAAATAACTAAAAAACCAGATAGCCCGTTCAATTCTACCTAGAAAATGTAATCCTCTTCAAATTCTCTTCCTCTGATGGCTAATTAGTTATTAAATTTGTATTATTTTAAATCATAAAATTAGCGAAATGACACTGAAAAAAATGACTAAATAATAATAATAATAATAACTAACAACACCAACAACAAACACACAATAGTTAAAAACCAGCAACATCTTTATGAGGCATGCTGCGCTAAATCTTCATATTTTGTTGTTTACTATCTGTAGTTCAGAGATTGTCCATTCTTATTTAATCACCCTGTATATGAAAACAGACCGTATTTTGCACAGAAGGTCGGGTATTTCAGTTAAGATGCATGATAAGGAACAATAATATTCGAACATTATAGGAATTTCCTTTCGTGCTCTAAAAGAGATAAAAAAAATCAATATAGAGATAGGAAACAGTCAACAACAAGAAGGTTAGGCAACAGTATCAAATACTCTACTGACCTTGGTGCTGTCAATGACACTGACTGAGGCAGACTGAAAAGAAAAAAATGTTTTATTAGAATAATATAATACACCATCATCACAGTCGGGTAGGTTGCGTTCGACCCAATTTTTGATTCACCAATTTTCGATAGGCCCAAATTTAAATTTTCGTTCCACCCAATTTTTGATTCCCCCAATTTTCGATTCGCCCACCATCTCCGAATATACCCGAACGATGCGTTGTTGCCAAATCTGAATGAAGAATCATTCTTGGCTTATCATTATTGAATATTTCAATAATTTTGATACACATAATATGTATGTACGGTACATATTTCAATTCGCTCAATTTTCGATTTACCTAAAATCTCGAAATGTTAACGCTCTGTAGATAGTTAAGGAAGCGTTCGCGGACACATTTTAGATAAGTCATATTTTGATCTGAAAAATAAGCCCTTGAAATCTTGATACCGAATTTTGAACCACCCTGTATAGATATTGTTATCTCCAAGGCATTCGATCGAGTCTGGCACCACGGACTCCTCGCCAAGCTTCCATCTTATGGCTTGCCTCCCCAACTATGTTCTCTGCTAGCTAGTTTTCTCTGAAACAGGTCTCCCCATGTAATGGTCGACGGAGTTTCATCTGACTCTCTTATCATAAATGCTGGTGTTCCGCAAGGATCAATTCTAGCACCAACACTATTTCTACTCCATATCAACGATTTGTTGGAAGCAACTTCATGTCCAGTACACAGCTTCACGGATGATACTACCCTCCATACCGCCTTCTCTTCCAGGGCTCCAAAACCAGCCAGGCAAATCAGAAACGAACGAGGGAGAAATGTTGACACTTGGCAACAAATCTCGAATGGGGATCCAATAACTTGGTAGATTTCAATGCAAACAAAACACATGCCTTTTCTCTAGAAAAGCTGATCTCACTGTGCCCAACATAAGCTTGTCAGGAGTAACCATACCTTTGAAGACATCCATTTCGATGCGATCACTATCAGCAATAACCTTTCTTGTGAAAATCACGTGAGATCAATTGCTAAAAGTGCATCCCAAAAACTTGGTTTTCTGTATCGGGCCAGGAGCTATTGTACTTCTAGTCAGCTGCTTATGATCTATAAGGCACAGATCCCACCTGTCCTGGAATACTGTTCCCATATTCGGAGTGCAGTACCCAAACCTCCCTGGAACTGTTGGATTCTGTCCAAAAAAGGGCAATTCATCTCGTGGATTATGCCTCACTCAAAACCTCACTCACTTCTCTGGAACACCGTAGAAAAATTGACGATCTGGCTTTATTTTATAGATATTTTCATAGACGATGCTCTTCTGAAATATCAACAATTATTCCTCCCTTGGCAGTCCCCGCGAGATTAGCCCGTCGAGTTGAGACATCGCACCCCTTCGTGGTCACTTTGGAGACCTGCAAAACATCGCTTTCCAAAGACTCGTTCATCCAACGAACAGCGAGGCCCTGGAACACATTGCCAAGGGAGGTGTTTCCCGAGGCATATAACCTCCAGAAATTTAAGAAGAACACCAATTCCTACCCTATTTCCCTTGGTTCTCACGATGTTCTCTGAACATTACAGGATATCCCTTTTCGAACCAGAACATAAAAAAAACTGAAAACAAATTGTTAGTGTTCAATAAATATGAAACATTTTGTGATGAAAGCCCCACGATATGTAAGGACCCCTGACAAATAAACGAAAAAATGTACTTTCCCAAACGAGATTTCAGGAATACAAAAAAAGAATTTGGCTTAGGTCTCTTTGTACACACTCGCTGCTAAATATTGATGTGTTTTCACATTTCACATATCAGCCCTATCTGTGAAGATTTAATGGTCCCAGATGTAATAAGGGCATTCATTTCGCTCCAGATTTGTGTGTACACAGATAATGTTGCGATGAAGAAGCATAGCAGGAAGAGCGAATCAAAGAGAAACGTGTCGTCAAGCCTATGCGAATTTGAAAAATTACTTTAGATCAGGAGGGGTGAAAGAATTTACAGTCACAATTCCATCACATAAACAGTTTGATAATGACCAACTGTCATGGACATAAGGACATGTTTCGAAGGATCAATCCCTCATCATCAGCAAATCGATCATTATCATGAAACTAGACGAAAAACCAAATTGCACGCGAGAACAGAAACGTCAAGAAAAAATATTGGTCAACGAAACCACTATTACTTGGCATCACGAATATTCAACCTTTTACCTGATGAAACTAAAAAAAATATAATGAAATACTCGAATATAAATAAATTAAAAAAACAATTCAAAGGCCATATTCACAATGTGGATCGTTTAACTATCCGCAAGTGAATATATATAAGGAATTTAGTCTAAATATGGCTTTCTTTCAACTGCTGAATTCAAGTGTGATTGTTTTAGTTGAGTTAGTTAGCTATTGTCAATTATAATTGTACATATTTTAATGAATACATACATACATACATTTTTGACTCTCCCTGTATAACACAGATCATCCATCGTCCAAATGCGAAACCTAGGCTTCCCGTCAAACATAATATGAAGATTGCACTTGTTTTAACCTGTTGTACTTGAATAGGTGGAAATATACAGGTTGTTCCATTAGAAAATACAAAGTTGCTGGCATTTGCAGAAAAAAAGTCCGGCATATTGGATTGTTAGATCAAATCCGAAATGGTTGCATTTTTTTAGCATCTCATCTTCATAATCTGATCCCCATTCAGCTTCTTTGCCTCCTTTACTATACTATCGTCTCTGAAATATCCTGAAAAAGTCCTATTTCAAATATTCCCAATAGCTATTTCACTTTCGAAATTATGAGTTCTCCAATTCTTACTAGATGTTTCTGAAACGATTAGTCTTGAAATTTTTCACATATTCGAGATAGCTATGAGATTGAAAACAATTTTTGTAATTCAATCAATTCTCTGAATCTTACTCTCTTCATGATCTGAACGATATAAAAATAGAAATTTTATGGTCGAAATTGTTATGGTTATCAGATGACTCATAAGTTATAATCATTCATTGAAACTCTGTATTTACATTGGTAATTGAAATAATAATTCATCTGCTACTTTTTCGAAATCCCCTTCCAATTGATCATACTTATGGTTTTTCATGTCACTGGAGTGCCGTCAAATTCCACACTTCTAACGGCATCAGAAGATTCATTTTTCCATAATGTATACAAGAAAAAACGTCCTGTTTCTCTGAAGCAACTCGTTCATAAAATCTTTCTCCTTAAAATTACCAAATGAAACTCCCTCAACTGTTTTTTCAAAATATCTGACATATTCTTATTATGTTCTCACTTCCTTTCTATGCTTCTTGGTTATATCTTGTGGTGGGATTTAGTTCAGCCAGCATGTATAGGGCTCCAGCATATTTTTTAATGGATGATGTGAGCCATTCCTGGGTAAACGTGTATCATATTTTATGTATTTGCTACAGTTTATGCTGGCCTTTATTGTTATGTCTTGATGTAAAAACGACATACAATGTTCGAGGGCAAATAAAGTGGGATTTATGCATTGGAAATATCACATACGTTCCGGGAACGTCCGTTTTATGATGAGGATGATACATAGACTATTGGGGAGCATCTTGCTTCGTCAGATTGGGTAATATGTAGCTTCATCTGGCTTGTTTTTTATGGAAAATGTACCCGATTTTTGATATTTTTGCGAGATAAACAGCGTGTTTCAAAAAACCTGATCCCCTTGATAGGGTAGGAAGAACAATATACAATGTTCGAATACCTGTTTCTTCAACATATCCACATTATTACGACGTTGCCAATTCGAAGTTAGTATACCACGTTCACAAGCAGGTTCAATGGGTATTCTTATCATTTTTCACGGAATCATTGAGGCAAAACTGCGGAGAACAAGTTTTTGATATTACCCATGCCGAAACGAAGAATGTAATCGACATGCATATAGGCACACAAAACAAGAAAACATGCTTGAAAAATTATACAGGGTGAGTCATAACTATCAGGGACATAGGCTAAGGGCAGGACCAAAATATGGTGATTGGACCAAATATGCCTCAATAAAATATTGCTGTGGGAAAAAAATAGGGCGTTTCAATCGAGGAAGTATATTCACTATAAACTCGCACAGACATTTATTCACTAGCAAAAAATGTCGTTTACCAGCAACAATTTTCTGAGTCCAAAGCTCACTCTTCAATTGCGTTTTTCTCGAAAACAAATGAAACTATCGTGGTTGAACAAGAGTACTAATTTGACGTAAAATTTATGTTTCGGTCATATTTTTCAACCAAAAACAACTCCAAGCCCCGTATCTTTTTCCACAGCAATATTGTATCAAGGCATATTTGATCCTATCGCCACATTCTGGTCAAAATGATCCGCCCTTAGCTTATGGCCCCGTAGTTATGACTCACCCTGTATAGATGACAATCAGCGATAGAGCATGGCAAAGACAAAAGCGAAGCGGAAAGGGTGGGATGGGATCAAAAGTAGGGTGAGAAAAAAAGGATAGAGCTTTAATTCTCACTCACCAGAGCTTGAGCGGCCGCTTGGTGCTGGAAACAACGAAGCATACATTTAGTAGAGGTACACAGACAGAACAGAGATGTTATACAGTGGGAACTAGTTGAGGTTGGAGAAGCACAAAATTCACATAATACTTTTTTGGCAGAAAGATCATCGAACACTGTTTGTTAGCAGAAAAGTCAGCGTGAAAAGTGCAATTTTAGAGAAACTAACCTATTTTACGAAGATTTCAGACATAATCTGCGAATCGGCAACATTGCCAACAAGGAAATGAAAGTTTGTTGGCGTTTTGGCCAGAAATGCTAGGTCAGCTCTACTCATTCTCAAATTATAACCATATGAGAAGCTGTACCTATTTCGAGTTCATTACAATGAAGTAATATGAATGAATGTCTTCCTCTTCATTAACAAAAGTATTAATTGCTAAAATTAAGGTTGCTACTAATTTATTATTTCTGATTTATACAATATAATTACATTTGTAGTTTTGAGAGCCCATATTTTAAAA